CCTAAAAACCCTACGTTAAGGCACATCGACCACCCGATGGCCCGAATACGAAAATAGGAATCTAAATAAATGCGTCTGGGATAATGAGTACAAATAAAATATTTGATCTTCGGAGAGAAAACAAAATAATATATTCTCTGTTTGGGTAATAAATGCTCGATAATTAAATCTAAAAAGAAAGCTTCGGATGAAAGGCTACCTGTTTCTTGGAGGCGCCCCTTTTGCAATCAGTAACATTCAAGATTCCGGTTCAATTTTGTTTGGTTTTGAATTGTGAGAGAATAATAATAATGATCTTATCACTCGCCAGCAGTAGGGTTAGAATACAGCTCATGGAGATATTAAGATCGAACTGCACGACACATACTCTTCATGACAGTTAACGGGGTAGGAGAATCAGACACATGGCATCGCATGGGTTAGCATGCAACTCATGTACTTATATTGTGGTACGTGTACTAATCGTTCTGTAAAACACATACCTTTGAAGGCAGTTGTCGGAATATGATGACAGGATGTGTGACAACCAGGCCACGTCCTGATCTTTGATGTCGGGAAAGTGCCAGCGGGTGACCTCAACACCGCGATCCTTTAAGGTAGTGCCAACGTTGTTCGGGACGCCCTTGGCGCAGCATAAATTTGCTGTTGACCAAATTACATCAACATTAAAATTGTACGCTATTATTCATCAGTCACAATAGTATTTATGTCTTTATACTTCTCGTTATTTGCGGCTTGATACAAGTTCTTTCTAGTACTAGATAGCTTGGCTTCTAGGTTCTGCACACTTCCTCTCGGTCTTAATCTGCATCAATTATGAGATAAAAAGGTATAGAATAAGAATGAAAACGGGTATAATTTCTTCCTCCTCGAATACTTTCGTTTATTTAAACATTTGACGATGGCCATGTTTGGTTTAAGTTGGCAATAATTACAAAAATTCCATACGGCTTCGAAAATACAGCCGTTTGAAAGACTTGATAATTATGAGAAAATCATATGTATATATGTATGAATATACAAGAAAACAATGAATTACTCACTGATAGTACGTATTTTCAATTTAGCACAACACAGTGCATCGGCTCGGCAGTCGAGACGGATGTTGCAATTGAAATTATCCCAACTGACTTGGTGGGGGGAAACGTACACGGCAGTCAGCCTTGTACTGTCATAAAATGAATGTAACATATAAACATATAATAAATAATGATATAAACACATGATATTGACAACCATGTAATATCCTTATGGTAAATGATAATCAGAATTTGAGGAGATTACAGAAGTGTGTGAGAAATTCCCTTAAAGTTAATTTTTCTTGCCCTTTTCGGGACTTTCAGACAGAAAATTTTTCTTGTTTGTGAATTTAATTAAAGAGAGTAACATTAGCAAGAACATGGAATGAAAATATATTAAATTTTCTAGAAGATTATTTCGTGGCATCTGTCACGGCAAGGCTGAAGGGCTGCAAGCAGCACGAAGTGTGAACTGTATTCGGGGGCTAAAACAATGCGGTAACTTATGAGATTACACGACCCACCTTAACTCATCGACGATATTTCCCAAGCCTCCATCCGACTGTCCTGCCGGCCTCCAGAAGGAGTCCAGGGGCAGCAGGCTGATGTCGCCGGAGTAGAGGGCGGCGAGGCGGGACAGCAGCTCCCCCAGCCCCGGGATGGGGCGGGTGTGGGTGGACAGCAGCTCCCCCAGCACCGGGATGGGGCGGGTGTGGGAGGACAGCACCACGAGGTGACTGGGCTGCCTGTTGCTGGCCAGGCTTGCGAGGGCTCGTTCTCCTTCATCACTGCTGGAGATGATCCAAGGTTTGCCAATCGGCATGACCTCACACGTCTGTAGCTGTAGGGCGAGGAAAATTTCAATCAGATTAATTCATTTAAGTTTAAGTTTTGCTAAGTCTCGATTTTCAAAAGGTCATTTTGCGTTCTATTACAAAGAGATTAATTAGTAACTTTGTTACTAAACAGAAATTCCCCAGAGGTAGGAAACAGAAAACGTTCAATTATTACGGTGAATATGCGTTTTTAGAGTAACTAATACTATACTTTGTTCATCGTAGATCACTAAATAAAATTTGGGCTTTTTTGATAATTTAATTTGATCATTCATAAGTTAATCAATACCAACAGAAGTATATGTTTGATAGAAAATAATCTGCTAGAAAAATATCACCTTTACCGCGGCGTTAGACTAGTCAGGCTGAATAAATGATCGAACAATATTTTCATATGCCACGCTAAAAATTTGAAACTCAAACAAAAGAATTCGACTTCTTCTCAGCGAAATGCTTCAAACAAGACGCGATCAAAATCATTCATTTAGACAATATTATTCGTCATTTAGCGCTTTCAGGACAGGTATACCTTCAGCACAATGACATGTATGATCCCAAGACAATCATCGCATCTATCCATGTATTATAGCAAATATTTCACTCACCTCTAACGACGCACTTGTTTTAGCGGCAGCATCCAGTAATGTCTTGATTTCAGGTAGCTTTCCATTTTCTCCAAAGTTCAATTTCAGACGGCAGAGAATTTCCTTGCAATTGAGTCTCTTGTTTCCATCCAGTCTGGTGACCGAGGCATCTCAGGCCTGGAGGTCCTGCTCGGTTGACACTTTCTGAGCCAACAGCAAATCCTTCCAGCCATCAAAATCAGGCTTCAATTTGATGATGTCATCAATAAAGCCCGATAAACCATCAGATAACGTGACGACCGAACTAACGCTGTCGAGTTTGTTCTGCAACGTGGACCGTATTTTCGCCCAGACGCCATTAACGTTCTCGTTATCCTGAAGCAGGTCGTCTATCATCTCTATTTTGTGCGTGGCGTGCGTGGCCCTGCAGCAAGTGAAGCACACGGACTCTACGCAGTCCACGCAGAAATAATCCAGCGCCTTCTGGTGCTGGGGGCACAGCGCTTCTGACGGTGAACCCACAGCACTTGGAAGTGATTTCTCATTGGTTGGAATCAATGCGAAGATAACTGGCAATTGATCGGCATCTTGAGAAATTAGTTTTCTGCATTTCGGACAGTTTTTGGTCTCGGGAACATTGAATAAACGCGTGATGCAATAGAAGCAAAACGAGTGACCACAAGGCAGACATAGCGGCTTGCGGTCGTTTGAGTTGTATTGCTCATTACAAATGTCACATTCAATCGTGGCGGTGGCCATCTTGTCTGGTGTAAATGTATTCTCTTTTCTCATTGGTTGAATAAAAGCAGCATAACCAATATCTACACTCGGTGCAAAACTCTGAAATGGAAGATGTTTAGTAACTGCCGGTGGGATTAGTAGGATTTTCAATATTTTTAATATAAAAAATATTCGTTAAGTGAAGATCCAGCCAAACTAAGACAAGTGATTTGTGTCTGACAGTTCCGTCGCAAAGTTATAGATAATATCATTATTTTTGTCTAAGAAAAGATTCATGCACGATACGAATAAAAAAATTTGAAGGTAACAGGGTTTTTACATAAATCCCTTGCCTGCCGTGCGATGTATCCAAAAGCGGTCCTAGACATTCATAATCGTTTCATGTCAAAGATCATAGTTTAAAGTTTAAATTATATAGTTTAATGGTTAAGTTTGAAGAATTCTTTCATCCAAACCATCAATATAAAATAGCAGTTAAAAAAACATTCAATCCGAATTTGATCAAGTAATTTTAAAATTTTCTACTAGCGGTTTGAATGTACTGCGAGAACCAGACCAGGTTTGGGAGCAGACATTAGATTTCATGCTTTCAAGTTGCTGCTTTTAAACATTTTCTTTACGCTTCAACAGGGGCAAGATTATCAAAACTTCGTAACTTTTTGTACTTACGACAAAAAAGTTACGTGTTACGCAAGTACACCCTAATTTTGACATTATCAAATTTTTCGTACGCAAGTCTTAGCTAAAAGCGTATTAACAAAACCATCTGGCTAACTGACCAATCAGAGGCTATGGATTTGCTCTTCCTATAGCTCCAGTAAGCTCCTCTCGACCAGTGCGCAGTGCGCCTGGATGAAAGCAAGATGTGTGGTGTCAGCGGCATTTGCGGTGCCAGACTAGGGTGTATTTGGATAAATGAGCGAGACGTTATCCAAATAGCAATGCACATGTTGTTGTGATCATTAACCAAATATTCCTGCAATTTGGGCAAATATGTAAATGCATTATTCCCATTCGAAATTAGAAGAATTTTTTAGAAGGTTACAAAGAATTTAGAAAATATCGTGAGTTGGAGTTGCGACTGTCGTGCAAAGAAATAAATTTGTTTGCAGAGAACTAGAAAAATGGTTGGCTTGTCAACCTCAATATAATTTTGAATAAAAAAGGCATTAATATATTGTTCAAGTGAATGATCATAAAACTCTAAGATATGAATATAAACATTTACTTGTAAATTATAGCACAAAAGGCAATTGACATTTTTATCCCAAAAGCACCGTTTAGCACGATCACATATTATATGTCGGATTATTGACAAAATTCTATCACAATTCACCGTGTTGCTACTTGCTAGTAAATCAATAGTTTCCTATTGCTTCAGCAGACCCTCTAAACTTGTGCAACACTCCACTTACTGCAGAGGTTTGACACGCAGGTGTTCTCTAAACGAATCTGCCGCGAGGTCACGAGCGGGCTGAGCGGTTTTAGGCTGGCAATGTGGTTCGTTGGCTTCCGTGGATGAGGTGAGGAGGTGTTAGTGTTCTGGTTGTGATTGCCGGTTAGGCTCGGCTTGTGTGAAGGAGTCGTACATAGACGCTGTTAATATTACCGGTTCAGAATTTATATGAAGTTCAGTGGACTGTGAAGTGGGGTTTTTTCCTATTTTTGCTTGAGAGATTTAATGGCATATTCTGCTTCCCAGGTGGGAGGGACCTTTTCTGGTGTGGCGTCGGCTTCTGAGATCCGACCGTGTTCTTCTCAGGCGTTTGTTCAAGGGTGTTTACCGGGGACGTGCACCGTTGGAAGAAGCCGACTGCCTCCAGTGTTTACCTGACGTGGGAGCCGACTGGACTAGTCTGCCCCTTGGTTTCCCGTGTGCTCTGCATAGCCGAGCCGTGTTGGGCGCCTATCGTCGTACCCTATTGGAGCGCCTAATGACGAGTTAACTAGTCTTGAAGTTCCTCGTGGAGGCGTGACCCCCCTAGGCTTGCCTGGGTCAAGCCATCGTGTTCTAGGCCCGGTGTCTGTGCCGCTTGGGGTGGCCCGTTAATGTATTAGGGCTTTCCCTGGAAGAGATACGCGGCTCTCGGGAAGTCGGCGCGTCTCGTGTTCAGTTTTGTGTAAAGGTCAATAGGTTTTAGAATTGTCGCGGGTCGACTATTTGAATAAATGTTTTTTAGTTAAGTAGCCGATGAAGTAGGTAGTTGGTATTTATATTTGTCTAAGTTTCTTGTCTAGATTGAATAAAACTTCGGGTTGAATTTTATTCTTGTGCCTTAGTATGTCTTATTGTATGCGTCACCCCTCGTTACCAGTAGCATCTCCTGCCCGGGGACAATGAGCGTTTAGGCAGCTGTTATATTTATTAATAGTTACCCGCTCTCCCGTAACATTACGATATCTCCGAGCAGGCGTACAGTTACGTACGTTACGTAGCTTCCCGCGCAAATGTTTTGATAATACCACCGCTAGAGTTACGTCATCATATCAGCACTTACGCCACTCGTAAGTCGATTTTGCGTATAGGTATATGAAGTTTTGATAATACGGCCCCAGGAGTACATTTTACCATGAAAACCCTTTGATCAACTTATTTAATAACGCAAAATAGCAGACAATTCATAGAGTGGGAATTATACAGCCCCAGAAACGTCAGGAAGGCTATCTATATACGACCCGGTATGCAGATATCTAGAAGATTCCACCGCAACATTTCTCGCGTTATACAGGGTGAAATGCAAGAGGATTAATATTAATACACGAACATGTACACATTTCGTATTGGATCTAGAATTATGAAACCTGATTTTCCTTTAATATTTGTTTATTTAGTTGATATTGTGGAACTGAATGAATTCGTTAACAGCCTGGAACGATCAAAAAATATATGAACTATCATTCTTAAACTTCCGAAATAAACTTCACGAAATATTGTTCGTAATTACACACAAATTTCTAAATGCTTTGGAAACATTAATTGGATCAATCATCTCCAGTTGAGATTGAAAACGTGTAATACTATGATCGAAGAGGCGCCTTACAGAGTATTGAATTTATTCAGAAACTTCTAGACCAATTCGCGTTAAGTCGTAGCCAGACATGACGGGAAAACTTTTCTCTATCACATCAGGTCAACAGTTCACACATTGAAACGCGCAATATATGGCAATGTACTATCTACACTTTAAAGCACTAGAGAGCCTGCTAAAACTAAGTTATCATGCTAAACTTGCTACGAATTATCATACATTACATGCAGAACACCGATAGATCCATAGTGCACAACCACCAACCACCTCCACCCGCGAGTAAGGACTGATTGGCTAGCCCGTGCGTGCACCAGTGTTGCCACCAGACCTCTCAATGACTGTCAAGGTAAAACCTGGTACTTTAAACCCAAAATACCCAAAATAATAAAATTTTGTAGCTGAGAAGATAAATTTACCTACATTTTGCATGCATTTTTTCAGATAAAGTTAATTCTATTCCGCGAAATGCGTTGAAAATACGCTAGATATAGCGGGATTGGCAACTCTGGCGTGCCCCGCTGTGATGTACGTCTCGGACAAATTTACGGCCGGACTTGTGGTCGGTCTCACGGCCACTCCCCAAATTCAGTGAACAAGCAATATCTGCCAAATTAATGAAGGTAACTCTATGAAACTTGGTACACGTATTCATTAGAGCCTGTCGGCAATGTTTAGCTCGTGAAATTTTTTTTCATTCGTGAGTTATATGGCGATACTAACCGAAATTCGCAGTGAACAAGACTGGTCTCTGACCAGTCAAAAAAATATCTGTTATTAAAAATTATATCTGAGCATATCTGATTTTAAACCAATTTTTTACAACAGCTATGTTGATGACACCTTTCTTATTTTCAAGCATCCCTCTCATGTAAAACTTTTCTTCGATTACCTAAACTTGCAACATAATTCTATTAAATTCACAATGGAACTTGAATCGAACAATAGTTTGTCCTTTCTAGACTGCAATATTACTAAATCTAATGGCCATTTTCAAACATCTTTTTTCAGAAAATCAACTTTCACCAGCCTAAGCACCAGCTTCTTTAGTTTTTATTCTTTTAGATTCAAGTTAAACGGGTTTCAAACACTATTACACCGCGGCTTTCGTATATGCTCGACTTTCCATGCCATGCATTCTGAATTTGAATTTTTGCGCAACGCCTTCTCGCTTAATGGATTTCCTTCTGGCCTGGTGTTTACCCAGATTAAGAAATTCATGTCTAAGCGATACAGTGAAGTTGTTCCAGAGCCTGATAGTAGAAAAGTGGTTTACTGTTCTTTTCCATACTTCGGCCATGCGTGCGAAGTTATGTCAAAAGAATTAAGAGATTTGTTTATGAAATACTTACCGGACATTAATCTTCGTATCTTACTGGTTAACAATTTCAAAATAGGTTCGTTTTTTAGGTACAAGGATATCCTCCCTTCTCACATGCGATCGTCCCTAGTTTATAAATTTAGTTGTGCACGATGTGCATCTGCGTACGTCGGAATGACGGCACGCAACCTTTACACTAGGGTCGCTGAGCATAAAGGGAGGTGTTATAGGACTGGGCAGTTACTATCGCGCCCTCCACATGAGGCTGTGCGCACTCACGCCGAACAGTGCAACGTTCCGGTGTCCGACACTGACTTTAAGATTTTAGCGTATAGTTCTGGTGCTTCCGATCTGCGCATTTTGGAATCATTGTATATTTTTAAAGAGAAGCCTAGTTTAAATGCTGCCTACAGTTCTTATCCATTAGAAATTGTGAATAGATAGGTATTTCTTTATTATTCTGCCCTTTGCCTGTAAATTTAGGTTTTAACTTCTGTTGTTTTTGTTTTTCTTTCTTATGACTCCAAACTTTATTTATTTTCTGACTGTATTTGTGTTCTAGATTTATCGAACTGACGATGGAGCTGGTCTCCGAAACGTTTTCAATAGAGAAATGCTGAATTTTTGTGGAGTTTTCTTCGCTTTTAAATTTCTATTATAATATAGGTAAACATGTTATATATTATAAATAGGTAACCATGTTATATGTTATAGGTAACCGCATTATATATTATAGGTACCCATGTTATATATATTATAGGTAACAGTGTTTCATATTATAGGAAACCATGTTATGTATTATAGGTAACAGTGTTTTATATTATAGGAAACCATGTTTGGATCATCTCAAATTTGCTACTTTGAACGAAAAAATTTGAACTTTCTCGACCCTGATTGAACGAAAAGTGAGAAATAATAAAAAAAAATTATGGTCCGCCTTTTCAACATTGTCTTTTTTATTGTACGTGCATTTAATAGTGTAGAATTAACTAAACTAGACGAAAAATGTTTACACTATAAATGGTAGAATTCTAAAGAATTTCCATGCACTGGAATCAAATGATACATTTTTAAATCAAATCATTATACCTACCACCAGTGAATTTTTTAAACAGTGGTTAATTCACTTTGCTGATTCAATCGCTTGTAAAACAACCAATTATTACTGAACTAATTTGTCCCACACTTTGTGACCATATAAATGAGATTATGTTAGGTAAGTTGGTCTGAAGGACGACAACTGCCTTCACAACTCGAGCTATAGCTCTAGATATAAAATGTTGTTTTCCTTTGGGCGGGATTTGGAGAAAGTGAGATTTTTAAGCTTACGAATTGGCTAGAATCAATATTCGAATACTACGTCATTTTAAATGTTCCAAATTTTCACTAATTCACGCATTCAAAGGGACCAGAGTTCTTAAAAGAAATGCAAATCATATTCCTGAATGAAATTCTTAATTTAATTTTTCTGTCTATGGAAATAAACTTATCACAACGTGTCTCGTCATATTTTTTCTTTCGTGAAAGTTATTATATGCTGTGGTAATGAGAATATACCTCTAATACCTCTTTTACATACTCACTTACCTTCATTTAGAATATCTCCTATTACAGCAGGGACCAACCTGAAGACATGCAAGCTCGAGAATGACCCTTGCCTGAACCACGGCTACATGGGCCCCGCCTGCAGCTGCCTCTGCCCGCCAGGCACGAAGGGCAAGAACTGTGAAGTTCTGGAGATGGCCTATGACGGTACAGAGCCAAGTGGACATGATTAATTTTCTCATTTGGAAATTTTCCGTGGAATCTTTTGATGCTTCGAACGCTTGCATTAAACTAATTGATATGCATATATCGGATAAGATTTAAGGATTAACATTTCTAGATTATGAATATGATTTAAGGGATGTTTGACATTGAAATGTACTGTGAAACGAGTCGAAAATGGAATTTTTCACGACGTTACTATTGTTACAAATTAAATCTTCGTTTCTATCGTTATAATTTGAGTATAATTTTCAAGAAGCGAAAATATATAAACTATGTTAATTGATGGAAATTGAAATTTCTGATATGATATCCCAATGAACACTATATATTTGGATGATTCCATTAGCATATTGTTAGCACCTATGAACGGGAGTTCATGACTAACACAATCATATAACATGCACTGATGCGTGTAAACTATATATAAAAGTCACGAGATCATGATCACGATGAGTAGATATTTATTATATTTCATGAGAAATTTTGTACACAGTAGTCGTTCTTGCTACTGGTTTGTGTATGATGAGAAGTTAAATAGCAAACAAATCTTCCATGGGATGTATTCAACTCCCTTGATTCATATGTCAAACCATAAACAAAATTTATTGTTTTCTTCAACGATTTTTTATGTTCCAGATGCGATGCTGAAATTATTTTGGACAAATTCAAGCACTATTACGATGAACAATACTGTGGTCAAGAACCCTGAATGTTCAGGAACTTCAGGCTGTGGTATGGAAAAATGAAGTAACATTGTTACAAAACCTAACCTAAGACCAATGATTGCTCACTTGTTTTTCATTTTATTAATCCATCGAAGGTGTGCATTTATCAAAAATTGAGGTCAAAATTGAGATAATCTGCTGGCAAAATTGATATATGCACACTCAGATTCGGGTAAGATTTTCTCTGTTTTACTCTTTGGAAGCAGCTATGTGTGAACAATAATACGTATCAATGAAAACAAAAGCCTAACAAAATTTAGAGGATGGGAGACACAGAGTAGGTGCTGCCACGGACTTCAGATAGGCCCACGGACTCTCTATCTATCTGCTGCCACGGCGCAAAAAATCAGCCGCTCTATATCTCTTCGGCTCAAGCATATCCTGCCTCTGGGAACTTTACAAGCTCGGTATGACTCGGTTCGGCCAACCCTTCTCATACTCGCAGACGACTATAAAGTCGAAAAAATATTCTGACAAGAGACTGATTTCGATCGGGTGGTCTAGCAAAGCCCGGATCACTTTGCGCCAAAGGTAACGACTATTCGGCTGAAGCCTAGGCAGTACCCGAATTTAGTGCCTTGAGTGTCTCCCCATTATCGATTGGAAACGAAACCAATACATATCCATAAATGATTATTAAAATAGTCTTTCCCATCAGTGAACTTTTCCGTTCTAAAGTGCGGTGACGCAACAAATACAAGTTGATGGCTGGTAATAATTTTACCTATTTAATCATAGTTTCTCAGTTAGTCACAGAATTTTGCCTTGTTTTATTTCCCATAATGTGGTGGCAGAGTAGCCCAGTAGATAATGTTGAGAGTACCAGCAATCCGTCAAGCTGTAGGAATTCAACGATGTCTAGAAGCGGCGAAGGGCCAGATTCGGTCGATTGAACGCTGAGCTCACTGCTACTATTTCCAATACTTCTAATACGAACGCGCCTCCACTAGACATCGTAATTCCATGTGATCAAATGCGCAGGGGTAGCAATGGACATCGTGCTGCAAGCCGGCAAGTGTGAGCGAGCCGTGCTGACCTTCCAGGACTTTGATCTTTTGGAGCGCCGTGAGGATGGATTTTGCCAACCTGCAAGCAAGCTGGCAATAAAATCAAAAATCGAAGACGGGAGCCCAATGTATGTTTCTTTAATATTTTTTTTTTTTGCATTTGAGTGAGCCCAGTAATGTCAATGTTGTGGGAGCAGAGATTTGCTGCTTCCCAACATTCCTTCCATTCTCGCTCTGCATTCTCGAATAATCTAATCGATTCATCACAAAAAGTAGTAACATTCATTCTGCAGATGCGATAACTAACTAAGAGAGAATTAATATTTACACGAAGATTTCATGTTTAAACCGACTGCTGTAAGGAGTTCAGGCAGGATGTCTAATTTTGTGCATATTTATGAGTGCAAGAAATCAATTGTGTTTATTGATTATATAACGCTTCAAATTGTTAGTAAATTATTTCTTGTTGTTTTGTGGGGTATTTATCCCCACGCAGATTTTAATCCTAATCCAAAAGTTATTTCACAATAATTAAGTAAGGTTTAAACAAGTTCAACCCCATGATTGGAGTTGAACCGATTTAATCATTTATCTTAAGCTGTAAAGGAATTAGTATTCTTCATGATGTAATCCAGTTTCAGAGAAAAATAGCGTCCTGGTCGGCTTTGTGGTGGTCGTAACTTGAAGTTTAGAGGATGAAATGCTGAATGAAAAGATACGTTGAATTAAAACCACGGCGCTACATGTACTAAGCTGTTAAAATTTCAGAGTTTCAGTATTGAATTAATTCCAGATCAGTGCTCACATTATTAAACCAAAATAAGTGCACAAACTGTGCTTTCAGAGGTGTCGTGTCCATTTAAACATGCAAGCTTTGACGATAGTTTAAGTGCAGTATTAATTTAGACGATATTGGTAACTGTGAGCTATATATAAGTTAAATAGGTAGCCACCTTTCCACGTATAAACGCACCACAACTAACATGAACACTTTGGCTTTTATAGGTTAAATTTTAATAGGTAAAGTTAAGTAAGAGACTCAACAATACCCGTCAATCAAAGTCGAATGCTACCCTGGTCTAATCAGAATTTTAAAGTGCTGGTCAACTAAGGTTATAGTATAAGCAAATGAATTTATAAGGGCTAACAGACTCCAAGGTTGACGGGCCAGCCAAAGCGTTCGAAATTAGTTGACAAAAACATGTACCATAAATTAAAGGAATAAATAGGCTAAGGTTGTGCACAACAAATAAAGGCCGGAAGTAAATATTTAGGAAAATGCGGCACAAAACTAGGTACAGCGGAAATTCGGATGACCGTTCAAGTACACAGTTAAAGCAATTATATCAGAGCGCCGCGGGTCTGCCTTAAGACGAGCCCGCTTTGCTTCTTCGTAGTAAGCTCCAAGAAGGCTGGTTGAAGAATTTTCCAAACAGTTTCAATGATTTTCTGCCACAAAGAATTCCTGCCTGGCCAAGTGTTCAAAGGCGAAAAAGGCCTCTTCTTCCTCTCATTCGAAGGCACCGTAGGCTCACCGAACCTGAAGTATGAAGAGTGGAAGGCCCTCTTCACCACTGAACGCATCGCTGGCTGGTGAGAGAGCTATTGGTGTGCAAGGTTCTCGGGCAAGGATGAACTGTGTATCTGATGGTTGGTGCAGTGTGAATTTCTTCCTGGGTCAGTGTTTACTAGAGTGTTGGCATTGTATTTTGCAAGCGGGAGAAGTATGGATCATCTCCGTAAATGATATCAGTAACTGATGGCCTGGTTTTAGAGTCAGGATCAGAATGCAAAAGTTTTAATACCTATTACTTAAGAATAAAGTCGCCGAGATTAATAGAGACGAGGCTGTAAGCGCCTCACACTTTGAAAATTTCATTAGTAGGCTTTGGAAAATAATACGAAGGTAAAGTTTAGAGCAGGGAATACAGCTGGCTGACGCCGGATATAGGGCCGCCGTAGAGACGCGATAGAGCAGAAATGTCCGCATCAGAGACGATATCGCCAGCCGCGTAAAAGCGATAATTATTCTCTCAGTACCTGCCCAGCTAGTGTGCTCTGTCCTGCCGACACGCAGCACTCAATGAACACCGCCCGCTCAAATCAGCCTAAAGCTGCTCTTGAGGCTCTGGAAAAGTCGGAGTGATTATTAGATAGTAGACAATATTCACCTGCACTAATTTCAGACAAATGAACTCAGTTGCCACTCGAATGATACCGTCAGTTGGATGTAAGTGAATAATAAGCTAAATTTTAATCGCAATTTATTTTATTTTTGCATTAGATTTATGTCATCCAATTGATTGATATGAAAATTAACAACCTATTTAAATCATTAAACCGCTATTTCACCACGAATTTGAAAGCACGTGAAACGTCAATTAAATTCAACATATCTTCAATGAAGACGTTTCGGATACTAGCTCCGAAACGCAGGAAAATTTCATCAATTTTATGAACTGATGATGGAGCTGGTCTCATACACATTTTCAAAGAAAATCTGTTTCGATGTTATTTTTGCCATTACATTCATGTTTTTTTATTGTTTTCCGGGCATCCACGGTAGAAAGTTTTCTCATTATAAACTGATTGATTTCTCGCTTCCGTAAAGCGTGAATGAGCGTAAACGTTTCTGTTTGCGTGTTAAAACTGGAAAGAAAATTCTTGCCTAATTCAAACTATTAAAATAATGACGTGATGTAAATATCATAACTGGCACAAGAAATGAACCCAAATATCGTATTATGCGTTTTAGATGGAGCATGGAGTTCATTCTAATTCCTTCTGTTTCATTCTATCAAAATACCCTTTGTAATGCACGGCCTGCATAGCTACTCTGCTCAGAACGTTTACATTCTAATTCCCCCTGTTTCCCTCTCTCAAAACCCCCTTTGTAATGCACGGCCTGCATGGCTACTCTGCTCAGAACGCTGCCGCGAGGTCCATGTGCCAGCGCTGCAACAGCGCAGCATTCCGTCCTTGCCGAGCTGTTAGAATTTGTCTCTATATTAGCCCTGGCGCAGCTCAGTTTTAGGGATGGATATCCGGTTATAGTTTCACTGCTCCGTCCGGCTTAATTAAGCCAATAACATCTCCGGTCGGGGCTTGAAGTTCTAACTGGGTAATGAGCGACTACACCAACTCTGTGACCCTTCCGGAATCTGGCAATAATGGCTTGGTGGTTGTGTGGGGGGCAGGAAATAAATTATTTGAAATAACACTGGCCACAGTCATTCGTATGAACCATTTTACATATATTCACAGGTAAACAGGATATTAATGACTATGTAAAATCTAAAAGAATAGCTAGAAATTGAAACGGTAACTCATCTTTGAGATAGATGTTCTTCAGATATTTTTCTCAGACGTTTCAGTCATGAAAAGATTTCCATTCGAAGTCGTTGAAGCCTCCTATATGAACAACTACAAATGATGACTTGACATTTCTATACCTCGACATATGTTTTGACTGGATATACCTCGCCCCTTGTTGAAAACAAGGCGCGACCAGGTTGAAAACATATATCATAATAGTTTATAATTCTGTCTCTGACAGATTTGGTAAAGGAATAGTTTTTTGACGTATTAAAAATAACCAACGAATATAAGATTTGGCGATGCTGTGATTTAAATACTTTGAATTTATTATATAAAAGTTATGCAAAGTATTGAACCAATTAAAAAGTATTAAAAAACGCTGTGTATTTCTCAATTTTAGTAATTCAAAAGTCGGAGCGATGAAAATAATACGTTGAAACGTTTACTACGCTGAGAAATTCTAACTAAATAATTTAGATATTTCAGAACTGTATTTATTGAGCTTACCATATATGAATATATGTAAATGTATGAATATTTCAATGTAATCAAGGTTTTACAACGCGAATTCCAATGTATAGTCAAGTAAATGAGCACATTGTGCCTGAGCAGGTTCAAGTGAACAGGTTCAAGTAAACAAATTCAAGTGAACAGGTTCAAGTGAATTTGAACAGGTTCAAGTGAACAAATTTGTTCGTACCATTACTAATTTACCTATATTTATTGCCATTAGTTTTCTTTTGATGACATTTTCATTTCTTGCAGCACGCGATGAGTGATCGCGTTCTCTCCTGTATAAGCTGCAGAAATTCAGCTACGCGTCCCGTCCTTACACCTTCATCAACCAATTAAATAGATTATTCAAGCTAATTAATTAGATCAGGGACGGGTGTATAGATGGCCTCTGCATAGCGCTATCCAGCCACCGATGTTATCTCAATTATTATCAGCCACTCACAGGTTGAGGTCCATTCAGATAACATGCACATGCTTGTAGACCGAATGTTCTTTAAGAATATTAAACTTCTCTTACTGGCAGAAGAGAGATAAAACGTCAAAATTGGTGTGTTATGAATCTATGTGAATTCACCCGCAGTTTTTAATTAAGATTAGAGTGTTCAACTATTCATTTGCTGATTTTATTTGTCAACATCCGCAAGAGTTGTTGCTAGCGAATGCCGGCTCCCTTGGCTGACTATTGTTATATTTTAAAAATTATATGGCCAGCTTCAGAGGTCCAGCTGCTTCGGGTTAGGTCGTCTCTGCTCGAGTTAGTTCATTTTCTGGGGCCGTTTTACCAAAATTTGTTCTTATAAAAGTAACCGTCTTAGTACACTAGGTGGCTTAAGTACATGAAGCTGCCTAGGCACACATGGTAGCCTAAATACACATATCGGTCGATTTTTTGTCAGTTATTGGTGGGTTTAGATTGAAAAGCCGTTAGTGACTGGCTGATTACTAACGTGATTGGCCGTTAGTAATGACATGAAGCTGCAGTAAGTGATTGGGTTAGAGTTACGAAATCGTATTCGTAATTTTTTATTGTACGGCCCAGGTCTATTTACGCTCGTGTGTTGTGCCATTTTCCTGCCATTTATTCATTACTAATACATGAGTGTCTCTACCAACTTTCATTCCCTGTTTTGCGTGTGTTCCGCAGACTAATGCTTTAATTGGTATACATGTTCCTTTAAGATGATTAAATTCGATGAAGCGAATGTGAAATTATTTAATCTCTTCGCTTACTTAGAGCTTAACATGACTTCTAGAGGAAATATCTACTACCAAAAATCTTATTTGATTCCATTATATCAAAATTTGGAAACAAACAAAAAGATATCATTAATAGTGATATTGAAATTATTTCACTTTGTTCAAAAATTTGTGATTGCAGATTTTAGCGTCACGTTGTCTAGTAAAATATAAACATTCCTAAAAATGTAGGCAAAATACTAAGACTTTTCCGTTTACCCAACATAAATCGTGCCCGATAATCCTCTCTGTCAGATCACCCCTCTCAATTATATCCTAAAATACCTTAACACTTTCGAAATTGTGAGACGTATTTGGCACCCGGAAGGCAGATTAGCAGCAGGGTCGGGGCAGGAAGCAGCTTTTACACAACAGGAATTGCACAGGAAGGCCGATACTCGTATCTAGACATCGCCAGCTCTTCGGTGTCCGGTTCTAGGCAGTAATAGAGCAGTAATTTATTAGGGGTCGAAACATGGTCAACTTAGATGCAAGGTGATAGCGACTTTCAATGATTTCTTTTTTTTTTTTGCCGACAGGTTTGTACACTTAGTCTGATACGGTAACATATCAACTGATTGTTATTTACAGCGATGAGGAAGCTCAAAGAATTCTAACCCCGTAAATTATTTCCGATTGCAAAGAATCCGATTAAAAAGGCATAGGATTAGTGAATATATATTATGATATCCGTAATAACTTCACGTTAATTGTTGAAAGAAGCAAACGGTTCACGACATTTTATGTACGTATATTATTGAGGAATGCGCAAGAATAAATCGCATTAGATATATTTAGTCTTCAACGACCCTAAATTCTGCTTCTCATGTCCACACTTCACTTGATTCTTGATAAATAACAATCTTCGCCATAATAAAATAAGAAACCATTTCGAACGAATTAGGGAACTGGGAAATCCAATCTAATATGAAATTCAAAGCAATTGTTATTAAGGGCAATAACCACTGTTTAAACTCGATAAGAAGACGACGAACAATTTTGCAGAACTGCTGATGAATTGTTGGCTCATGTAGATTGTAAAAACGCTGTTCGTTTTTGTTGGGTTTTGGTTTGACGTAAGTCCGCGTTTTCAAGGATAACCACGGTTTCAACAACAAATATCCCGTTTATTGGATTAAAAACTTGTATCTGTAAGAACAAACAAATATATTAGCCCTATAAACTTCATTGTATGCTTATAATATTCGAATATAACAAATAATAATCAGAACAATAAACAACTTGTAGGAAGGCATAAATCTACGCACCGAAATATTGTGGGCAGTTTTGACGCGGGCTACGAACTGAGCTAACATGAAACTATTGATACGTTGTTGACTTTCTACACACTCTAAAGGTCGGATTAACAAGTAAATCATAGGAGCGCATAAAAAATAGACTTAAAACTAAGCTAACAAAAGGTTCGCTAAAAATATTTACATAGATTAATTTTCGAACGATTCTATTGGCAATTTGTCTGGAGGTGGCATGCGTAGATTGCGTCTGGAGGTGGCATGTGTAGATGGGGTCTAGAGGTGGCATGCGTAGATGGCGTCTTGAGGTGGCATGCGCAGATCGCGTCTGGAGGTGGCATGCGTAGATGGCGTCTAGAGGTGGCATGCGTAGATCGCGTCTGGAGGTGGCATGCGTAGATGGCGTCTAGAGGTGGCATGCGTAGATCGCGTCTGGAGGTGGCATGCGTAGATCGCGTCTGGAGGTGGCATGCGTGGATGGCGTCTGGAGGTGGCATGCGTAGATGGCGTCTAGAGGTGGCATGCGTAGATGGCGTCTTGAGGTGGCATGCGTGGATGGCGTCTAGAGGTGGCATGCGTGGATGACGTCTAGAGGTGGCATGCGTAGATGGCGTCTAGAGGTGGCATGCGTAGATGGCGTCTTGAGGTGGCATGCGTGGATGGCGTCTAGAGGTGGCATGCTTTGGCGTTTGTTCGACAGGACAGAGAAAATTTGCGATAAATCGCGTCCAATAAAAAAGAGATGTGAACTCAAAGCTTACTATATGCTATAAAAAGCCGAAGATGTCGAAGGAAGACGTTCACTGAAAAAAATTAATTATGCCGTTCAGTAGCATGAAAATCCTGATGCTGAAGTATAAGGGTTGATGGGCGTACTACGTTACAAACAGTCCTAAACACGAGTCGAAAGCGATTGCAGGATGAAATTATTTGGATGGTAGTTCAATTATTCAAGATTAATCCAATTAAAAACCTTGCTAAGTTCTGTAATATAAGCTGGTTTACACACGTGTAAGGGCGTATGTCCCACTTTCTTGAATCCTCTCTTTCTTTCACTCCCGATGTTTACTTCCAGCCTAGACTCGTTATTAAACACCGATCACGTTCTCCTACATTCGACTGGAGAGCTTTAAAATGTATAACTTACTTGAACCTTCATGTTATTTTTGTTGCTTCTCATATTTTGGAGGTTGGAACTATATTGGGTTAAAACTTTCGTCCCGTAAGCTCTATTCATGTAAGTGCTGCCAATACTCCCGCCGTTATGCGCTCGTCCTCTTATCATATTTGCGTTTTCTTAACTACCAAGCTTCATCATTATTCCTGTTTGATAATTCCGTTAATTTATTTACGAATGAATCCTATAGTATTGATTCTTGAATTTTGATCTGCAGCCACACCAAATGCTAACGAACCGTGACCCTTAACAACAAGATAACTTTACTATCATGTTTTTTGATGCTCTGTGTTATCTTTGTTTTCATATTTTCGGACAGCTAACTTATCAATAGTTTTCTCGAAAATATTGACAATTTTTGTCTCAGTGCGAACCGAACCACATGTTGCATTCACAGCACTTACCTAAAATAGCTGTTGCTATGAGAATCTTTGGGAAATCCGAACCTGCTGTGCCTACTATAAATACGATAACTTATCAGACCAACGCGCTGCATACTCGATGATATTTCTCCTGAATATACTTTTCCTTCAAGGGGCTTCATAAACTTGTTGACTTTCGCTTGTATTTAAATTTCCAAAATATTTCATTTCGAGTTATACTACCCTAGTACCATCCGGATGTTTCCTGTGACGATCATCTGCTTGCTACTGCTCATCATCGGTGAGTGTCTTCTGCATATAAATTAGAACAGCCATTAGGTGAAGAACTGTCAGCTTTTGCTGAGGAGTTCCAGCTTTTGTTAGTGTCTGCTTATTATGGAAAGAGTGCAGTCAATTTGCAGCGAAATAGTTGTCCAACCAAGAAATTAATGCGAACCGCAAAAATCAATCAACCACTCTGGCTGATTTGAAAAATCTTCCATAATGTTCTATAATTTTTTTCCAATTTAAATAAGGTCATTCAATGTCATGTGCACCACTCTTAAAACTCTGCCCCTGCTAACCATCATCAATTTCGATGAAATTACAACTAAGTTGGATCCTGTTCAAACCAACTGTGAAAAACAATTTTAGCTCAAAAGTGGAAAACTTTGGAATTGGAGCCCTCACAGGAGAGGTGGTGAAAATGTCCCCGATCACACGGCCCTAAATCTCCAACTTCTGGTCACTCCCGTGGCATATCTTTGTTGGCCCCTGATTTTAAAACTGAGGTATCTCGAGGACTTGAGAAGGGCCTTTTAAGAAACTTTCTCTCAGTGATGTATTTTTATATTCCCTAGGTAGAATGAGGTCAAATTTGCTCGAAAATCAAAGGAGCAGAAAAAATTCATAAGTTCAGTGCCTTGTAAATCACAAGAAAATGTATAAGTCTCCATTACACCTGTATTGCCAACATATGTAATATTTTATATACAAAAAATGATCGATAATTCACTTCGATTTTTCAGTAAGAATCATCAAAACTTGCTAATAGAAACCTCGGAGCTATTTTTCGACAATGTTTAAATACAAAACTAGAAAAGTTTCACTAAACCAATTTGGTTGAGACAGCATTTGTTAGAAAGAGAAAACTTCTTTGAATTAGAGCTATTTTTTCAAACTTCTTTGAATTCGAGTAATTCTTTTGAATTATATTCGACATTGGAAAACGTAGTAGATTACCCTGCCCAGTTAAAATTTTGAGCCGAGACCGGCGCCGGGTTTAGCCGGGCTGGTCGCGCTTTAGCAGGATGGAGCCGTGAAACTATAACCGGCCATCTATCCCTAAAACTGCGCTGCGCCATGGCTGATACCTGTCTCTTATACACATCTAGATGTGTATAAGAGACAGGTTCTAACTCGATAAGAAGACGACGAACAATTTTGCAGAACTGCTGATGAATTGTTGGCTCATGTAGATTGTAAAAACGCTGTTCGTTTTTGTTGGGTTTTGGTTTGACGTAAGTCCGCGTTTTCAAGGATAACCACGGTTTCAACAACAAATATCCCGTTTATTGGATTAAAAACTTGTATCTGTAAGAACAAACAAATATATCTGTCTCTTATACACATCTAGATGTGTATAAGAGACAGGAGCACACCTGGGCAGGTACTCAGAAGCTAATTAGCGCTGATACGCGGCTGGCGATATCGTCTCTAAAGCGGACATTTCTGCTCTATCGCTGCTCTGTCGCGTCTCTACGCCGGCTCTGCAGCCGGCGACGGCCTGCTCTATTCCCTGCCCTAAATTTTAACTGGGTGTTTAGATACCCATTCATGTGAAAGCTCAATTGCGAAAAGGAAAAGAATTGTACATGAATTTGCTGCTCTCTCTTACGTTATATTTTTTTCAAATTTGGAAGGACATAATTTTTTAAATAAGCTTCCTCTACTTTTTAACAGTTTTCCTACCTACGTATGTGCAAGATATTTCATAGTTTATTTCATCTTATAAATAAACACATATCAGAAGTGAAAAGCTACCAGAGGAAGTTATTTAGAATGAAGAGGAATGAATTTTATTACCGGAATTGAGAGGAATGCATTTTATCGCACGAATAAATGGGAATGAATTTTAGCACAGGAATGGACAACTTCAATGAGCCAACAATTACAGCAGACGTACGTGACTGCTGCGCCGTGGATTATTGTGATTATTAGTCACTGATAAGTAAAAAATTCTGGCGCACTTAATTGCAGATGGAATTTCTGTAATCAAGCCGTAATTGCCGCAAGAATGGCAAAAACTATATACAAATGCTTATAGCAAAGCATAATCTGCTTCAAAAGAATATGGATTGTCCCACATAATCGGACGAATATAGCCAGATATGAAATCAATTTATGCTTATTTGCTTATTCAAATTTATTCAATAGAAATTTAAAATCGAAGAAAACCCCACAAAAATTTAGCATATCTCTATTGAAAACGTTTCGGAGACCAGCTCCATCGTCAGTTCGATAAATCTAGAACACAGATAAAGGCAGAAAATTAGTGTGGAGTTAATAAAAAAAACACAGAAGTTAAAAACCTAAATTTACAGACAAAGGGCAGAATAATAAAGTGAGTACCCATCTATTCACAATTTCTAATGGATAAGAACTATAGGCAGCATTTAAACTAGACTTCTCTGTAAAAATATACAATGATTCCAAAATACGCAGATCGGAAGCACCAGAACTATAAGCTAAAACCCTTATTCAGTGTCGGACACTGGAACGTTGCACTGTTCGGCGTGAGTGCGCACAGCCGAATGAGGAGGGCGCGATAGTAACTGCCCAGTCCTATAACTCCTCGCACAGTCCTATAACAGTCCTCATTCGGCTGTGCGCACTCACGCCGAACAGTGCAACGTTCCAGTGTCCGACACTGAATAAGGGTTTTAGCTTATAGTTCTGGTGCTTCCGATCTGCGTATTTTGGAATCATTGTATATTTTTACAGAGAAGTCTAGTTTAAATGCTGCCTATAGTTCTTATCCATTAGAAATTGTGAATAGATGGGTACTCACTTTATTATTCTGCCCTTTGTCTGTAAATTTAGGTTTTTAACTTCTGTGTTTTTTTTATTAACTCCAAACTAATTTTCTGCCTTTATCTGTGTTCTAGATTTATCGAACTGACGATGAAGCTGGTCTCCGAAACGTTTTCAATAGAGATATGCTAAATTTTTGTGGGGTTTTCTTCGCTTATAAATTTCTAGTGAATTTGCGATTAAAGCAATCTAGTGACTATTTTAAATTTATTCAAATTGTTTCAATGAATGACTTCATTCAGAGCTGATCGCTAAATTAGAATCTTGACAAGCATCTTTAAATGATTGATGGTCGAAGTAATGATCCTGTTGACAAAAAAATTCTGAGAGGCGTTCATCCGCAGAGTCTTTAATACTGAATAAAAACAAAAGTAGTGATGTTCACTGATCGAAGCATTAAAGTACCTAAGATATTTGTCAGGTCAGGAATATTAATCAATTGAGCATAGATATTTGAACGACCTAATAAAAAAAAGCTAAAATATGGATGCGTCTCAGTGGCAGCTTTTTAAAAGGTGGCAATTTTATATACAGGACAAATAAGTAAAATAAACGTACCCTAGAAGGAAAATAGGGGAGTACAGAATTTGAAGTTCGAAAGTAGAGAAAAAGAAACGTATGACTGCTTAGGAAAATGGTGCCGCAGCAGATACTATAGACCGCGCTCTGCAGCGAATTTAAAAGTTTTGCCACTGAGCTATCACATGAATGGGTATCCAAACAGAGTAATCTACTACCTTTTACAATGTAAAATCTAATTCAAAAGAATTACTCAAATTCAAAGAAGTTTGAAAAAAACTTGCGCTAATTCAAAGAAGTTTTCTCTTTCTAACAAATGCTGTCTCAACCAAATTGGTTTAGCGAAACTTTTCTAGTTTTGTGTTAACGAACCGTAGAACTTTGTGTTAACGAACCGTTTTGCGTTAACGAACCGTTGTGTTAACGAACCGTAGGTGCATGTAGAACTTGAAAGGGGCTTCTAAATAATTGTTTCAAGTTTATTGTATATACTTTTTGTGTACGATGAGGTCAAACTTGCTCGAAAATCGAAAGAGCAGAAACCATTCATAAGTTCACTGCTCTGTAAAGCTAAGGAAAATTTTAAATCTACATGATACCTGTACAGTTTATTGCCAACATAGGTAACATTGTAAACATGAAATTTTGAAAAACACTCTATTTTGGTTTTTCACTGAATATCGTCTAAGCTGGCAAATAGACGCCTCTGAGTCATTTTCGAAATGTTTGAACACCAAACTAAATAATTTCCAGCATATCAATTTTGTTAAAGCAGCATTGATTAGAAAGAGAAAATTCTGTAATACAACGTAAGCTAACTCCAGCTGGAGGTTCTTCCTGTAAGGGAAGAAAACTTGTTTTAAAAATGTTTGAAGATGGTCGATTTTTCTATCATTCGACTGATTCTGGCTATCTCGTCGCCTACATTTCATTCAGTAACCATCAAGTTTTCGCACAATCATTATCCCAAATCTAAATTAATAATTCCTGAACATGTTTAAAGACAAGTTATTCAACTTCATGCGACATATCCCGCGACATAAACTCCTGCTCTTTTCTAAGCAGGAGTTTATCAAGTTCTAATACTTCTTCCCTTTCGCTGTTTCATTGTCTTTTTCTTCGTGTGAATGTTGCTACCTATTCGTTAATTTATTCATGCTCTATTTTTACTCATTTTACGGCACTCTATACAAATTACTAGATTATTCCCAGATTCACATTGTTGGGGTCAGTTACACACCAACTCGGTCTACATGATCGAATGTGATCATTTGGTCACTGATAGTGTTCAATTAAAATCACTTTATTTTTCAATTATCCGCTATAGAATATACAATCCTTGTGCTGGCCTAAACTGATTTATCATCGGAAAAGAAGATTAAGTCGTGATTTTAGGCCTTCCTAAAAGGGTAAAATGAACAATAATTAAACTTCTGATTAGTAAACTAAAGTAATGAATATACAAAAAATCAAATAACACAAAGAAAAAATTATATAGATCGATTCACATCAGTTCATATATCGTAATTTAATAATACATATCAGGACCTAACACACTATAACGTACCTCCGCTCGGGCTTCACACCGCACAATAATCTAGCAACTCACACCATCCGCATTCCGACTTCCATAAAGTCTAAACTAAAATAGCGTTCAACAACGTCGAAATAATTGCTAAATAATAAGTAAAATAAACACGCAAGATGCTAAACTTCGAGCTTAACCTTACAACATAACATAACATAGTGATCTCGGCGCTGAAGTGTAGGCCTGCTGTGGCCTGTCGCCGATTCTTTTCCTTTTCGTGCCTTGTTCACAGAAGATGTAAAATCGTGTCATTTGACCGGATCTTTTCATAACTGACGATAGTTTAGCTACTAGACTTCCACCGGGTTCGATATGGTGCTAGGCATTTCAAATCTGAGCATATATTTTCCCATAGCTTCATCTTGTCTGTTCTTGAACGGGTTCATACTTGGAGCGCCAACAATGCCATCGGGGAGGCTGTTCCACATGTCGGTGATTCGAAGCGAGAAGAAATGTTGTCGCGTGGAGAAGTTGCTGTGCAGTTTTTTTAGTTCATGGACGTGGCCCCTGGTGTTGGATCTTGTTTCGAATTCTAGTAATCCTTCGGGGACCTTGTATAAACCATGAGTATACTTGTATACTTCAATGAGGTCCCCACGGCGACGTCGATAACTGAGGCTTGGAAGCTTCATAATCTTTAATCTTTCTTCATAGGACTTGCCCCTGAAGCCTGGAATTATCCTTGTTGCACGTCTTTGAACATTCTCTATTAATTTTTTGTCCTTTTCAAATGTCAGTGACCACACAACGTTTACAAACTCTAGATTCGGGCACGACAGCAAGAAACTGCTTCATCGCTTTTACATCTAGGAACTCGTATGAACGTCTGATTAGTCCAAGAAATTTGTTAGATGTGTGTGCTTGCGTTTCAACATGCTTAGAAAATTTCAGCTCCTTGTCGACATAAACTCCGAGATTTTTTTCCACACCAGATTTCCAATCATTACTCTCTTGTTGCAACCATGTCTTCTCATACTGTTATCTTGCTGTTCATTGTTTTTCCCGAGGTGAAGTACTTTACAATTGTCAGCATTAAACCGCAGCAGCCACGTATCAGCCCAGTTAACTAAACTGTCAAGATCATCTCGCAATTGCGCTTTATTTGGCGCATCCTTCACTGTATTATAAACTTTTGTGTCGTCGGCATACATCGAGCACACGCTGGACACTGCTTCTGGCAGATCGTTCATAAAAGCAACGAACAAAATAGGCACAAGAACGCTTCCTTGAGCCGCGCCTCTGCTTACTGATGACTAGTCTGACACGGTTCCGTTAATACTGACACGTTGTCGTCTACCTACTAGAAAATCTTTCATCCATTGGAGTACGTTTCTCTCAATTCCTAAAGACTTCACTTTACGCAACAGCCGCTCATGCGGAACACTGTCAAATGCTTTGGAAAAATAGAGGTACAATGCATCCACTTCATCCACCCTTTCGTCCAGCAGGCGAGTCCAATCGTTCAACGTAGATAATAAGTTGGTGGTTATCTTAAGTTGAAGATTTGCGCCGTGATATCGGCGACACTTTGACCACCCCTTCTTTGAGAACTCCCAATTTCAAAAAGTTTCCTATTTTCAGCTAAATTTTTGTAAATTTGGATTAAAATATGAACTAATATTTGTGTTATCCTTCATCAATATTGGAAATGGTCAGGCGGGTATTCTTGGCTTACTTGAAATGGAATGACCCTAAAACCTTTCATTGGTTGTCCTCGGTTCCTATTGATACTGCGAAGGCAGGTTGTGCTGGTCTCTTTCTATTATAAAAAAAAAAGTTTTCGTAAAATTTACGCACCTACGCATGACAAATTGATTGAATTATGAACTCAGAATTCTTATATGACAGGCGCTGTGTCAGCCGACTGTCCTGATGGCTATGAAGTCGTCGGGCCCAAGTGCATCCACCGTTCTACTGGTGGATATCTGACGTACGACAACGCGGTCACTTACTGCTACCAGCACTTCGGCAGGCTGCCTGTGCTTAAAGACTGCGTCTCCTTCACTGATGTCGCCACCTATGTTAACGATGGATGTAAGATTATAACAGAATAATATGAGTTTCAAAATTGCTTTTTGAAGACAACACTTCTGAAGAATCCAGTGTCTTGTATGTTACACATGTACAATGAATTTCTAATTATTTTCATATATTAAAAGCAATTATTTTTCCAATTTTTTTAAGGTATCAAAATTTTATAAATTTTCAAAATTATTTATTCCTTCACTGATTCATGCATTGTCTCTGACTTTATGCAATTGTGCAAATTTTTAGATCGATTGGACAGGTCAAATTGTGTCATATATGGATTATAAGATTTGTAGCAGACGAAATTATTTTCATTTTTTTTAGTAATGAACAAAAACTTCTAATTTATAAAATTATTAATTCTGTCAATTGATTCATGCATTGTCTCCAACTTTACGCAAGTGTGCAAAATTTCAGATCGATTGGTCCGGTAGAACCGTAGAAGTGTGTCAAATATCGATAATAAGATTTGTAGCTGACAAAATTATTAGTATTTTTTTTTTAATATTGAATTTTTTTTTAATTATTTATTCTGTCACTTGATTCATGCATTGTCTCCAACTTTATGTAAGTGTGCCAAATTTCAGATCGATTGGACAGGTAGATGTGTGCTGAATATCGATTATAAGATTTATAGCAGACACACAGACAGACAAGAAGTGAAGTTAAAGAGAAGTGTTGTAATACTAAAAACATGTTCAATAAAATTGCACAGTGAAAAATAATTCTTATTTCAAAATGTTTGTCATCTTAGAAACATTTTAAGTCGACCGTCATATGTTAGAAGTGAATATTGCAAAAAAGTCTCTTCACTCGGCTTGGGGTGACAGAGCATCTGCTTGGGATGCAACAGCTGCGCAACTCTCTGCGGTTTCCAGACCAGCAGCTAAATGTGCAAATTATTATCGAAATCAGGGAGGTGGCCGGGTGTTAAGAATTGGCGACATGCCAACAGGACCTTATGAACGCTGAAAGGATCATATTGATTTATATTACTGTTACATAATAATATTTCCATTACTATTAACGTTGCACTCCATCAGACGCCGACGCCACCAACGGCTACTGGTTAGGCGCGACCAACTTGTCGGCTAACAACGTCTGGCAGTGGAGTGACGGAACGGCCGTGCAAATGGGCGCTCCGTACTGGGCCACCGTGAGTCAATCCATGTGTTTTCTGTACATGACACTTCATATTTGCGAAAAGGAAGTTTACCTATTATGAAATTGTAAATGGATGAAACTCTACTATGACACGAGTTGTATGACTAGATGTAACAGTATACTAACAAAAACAGTATTATAATGTTAAGGTGACCTTACTTGGAATGACCTTAAAAAGAAGGTAAAATTTCGTTTATCTATTACAATAAGTCAATCTGAATTCTAGTGCCAGATATACCATTGAATCACAGCCTTAATATCATAAAGATTTAGACGACAAATTGTTATTCTCACTCATCTTATGCTAGTGTTTGATTCGACCTACCCGAATAAAGTTGTTGATGGAGCATCGATGATTATTGGCACTTAGGTTGTTATTAAAGGTAGAACACTAATGGCGCGACGATGCAGTATCGATGGCGTATCCAGCCTATGTTACACCTACATACGTATAACCTGCCGATGGCCATCCTAACCGAAAAGCTCTTTTTCCATAACAAACCATTGGTGAAGATGGCACATCGATGAGCCATCGATAACCACCACTCGAATCAGATCGATGGGTCGATAAAGATTTTCCGTAAGTTTCAAATCCAATGCCTGTGCATTCTCACATTAACCAACATTCTTTACAAATACGATCAAATTTTTTAAGGGCTACGTTTACACATCAAGCAAGGAAGCACAAGCAACAACGTCGGAAATGTAGCAGGAACAAATTATCACCGTAGGTACGCAGTACCTCGTGAGAAACCGATATGAGGAACTATATATAAAAAAACTTGACCTGGCTGGACCTAGCCTCAGTAAAACGGTCTCTAGCAACCTAAAGAAGGGTTTTAGACACACCTAACCCTAACTCTAACCCTAACCTAACGAGGTTGGCGTTTTTTTGGTGTCCGGTAATGTAGTTCATTTATTTTCGTGTCCGGTTTTTAGGTACAAACTAATTGCAGAGTTAATTACCGGACTCGATTATGTCCGGTTTTGTACCCCCTGTCCGGTAATTGTTCGAAATTCTTATATATATATATACATTAATGTATATATTAATATTAGATGGCAGAATTTACTCGTTTGCACACGTGCGATCGATGACCAGAGAATTCGTTGATTTATATTATCAGTGAGTGGAACTTTTCTTCAGATGACGGTAGATTAAAAAGTAGGTTTCAGGAAGCAATTCTTATTTATTAACGACGTTTCGAATGCAACAAACATTCATTTTCAAGTTAGAAGAAGCATTAAACATTGAAATTTTCGTGGAAATAAGTACATAATATAAGTAAATAGGATACAACAGCAAAATTTTGGACCAAAAATTACTCGGAAAATTCTTTCAGAGTTCAGACAAATCCGGTAGTCAGAAAATAGATAGCTGGAGTCCAATCTGTAGAGATGAGGGGCCCAGCTATCGCCGGTCGGTTTCTGTCGGGCCAATGCTTGATCACGATGCTGATGAGTACCTTCAGCACAATGCGAGTGACGGTCTGGTTGTAAGCTTGTCTCGCGTGGTTCACCTGCCCTCCAGTTTGAAGGAAGCTAACGAGACAGCGGCTCGGTGTCTTGATTGTTAGTCCAATTTGTCCGATGTTGTCCAAAACATGAAGAAGTCTACAACCTTCTTTGAAGCAAAATTTATAGGCTACACCGGCCTCTCGGATAACTCCCGCGTTTTTTGCAAAAACGCGATGGTCTCGTTGTGGGCTTCCATTAAGTGGTTCCTTGGTCCAAAACAAAAACATCAGGTGGTTCCTTGGTCCAAAAATTTATTACAAAAACAAGAAAATACAGAATCTTGAAATGAACAATAACCCCTGCAAAAAAACGGGAGTTTTCCAAGAGACCAGCCATCAACCTTCAAACTATTGGATTTGTCAGAACCTTGAGACTGTTTTCGGAATAATTTTCGGTGCTTTGATTCTAAATTATTTTGTGATTTTGTAATTATTCCTAACAATTTTGATTTTTGAGTAGTATCCTATTTACTTGATTTTGTACTTATGTCGACGCTAATTTCATCACTCAATGCGCCTTTTAACTTGATAATGAATGATAGAAACATTCGAAACGTCGTTAACGAAATAAAAATGTCCATCGGTAACCTGATTTTCGATTTGCCAGTTCAAACTAAAAACATTGTTCGATATATTGAAAAAACTAATAAGAAAATTGCGAATAAAACAAATTCTCTGGTCTTCAATGAAACCTGCTTGAAAGAAGAAATTCTGCCAGCCTATACTAATATATGTATATATATTATTATTAGATGGCAGGATTTACTTATTTACACACGTGCGATTGATGACCAGAGAATTCGTTGGTTTATATTATCAAGGAGCGGACCTTTTCTTCAGATGACGTTAGATAAAGAGGCAAGTTTCAGGAAATAGTTTTTCTTTATTAACGACGTTTCGAATGCAACAAACATTCATTTTCAAGTTAGTAGACATCGGACAACAATCTGTCCGATGTTTTAGACGACATCGGATAGATTGGACTAACAATCAAGACACCGAGCCGCTGTTTCGTTAGCTACCTTCAAACTGGAGGGCAGGTGAACCACGCGAGACAAGCTTACAACCAGACCGTCACTCGCATTGTGCTGAACGTACTCACCAGCATCGTGATCATGCAGTGGTCCGACAACAACCGACCGGCGATTGCTGAACCCCTCATCTCTACAGATTTGACTACAGCTATCTATTTTCTGACTGCCGGATTTGTCTGAACTCTGAAAGAATTTTCCGAGTAATTTTTGGTCAAAAATTTTAATGTTGTATCCTATTTACTTATAATATGTACTTATTTCCACCAAAATTTCAACGTTTAATGCTTCTACTAACTTGAAAATGAATGTTTGTTGCATTCGAAACGTCGCTAATAGAGAAAAACTATTTCCTGAAACTTGCCTTTTTATCTAACGTCATCTGAAGAAAAGGTCCGCTCCCTGATAATATAAACCAACGAATTCTCTGGTCATCAATCGCACGTATGTATATATAAGGATTTCGAACAATTACCGGACAAAATTGGTAACATTACCGGACATGGGGTACAAAACCGGACAAAATCGAGTCCGGTAATTAACTCTGCAATTAGTTTGTACTTAAAAACCGGACACGAAAATAAATGAACCACATTACCGGACACCAAAAAACGCCAACCTCGTTAGGTTAGGGTTAGAGTTAGGGTTAGGTGTGTCTAAAACCCTTCTTTAGGTTGCTAGAGACCGTTTTACTGAGGTTAGGTCCAGCCAGGTCAAGTTTTTTTTATATATCTTTTGCAATTTATAAAAAAAATTAAAGTCCGGCAAAGTGGAATTATGACTTTATATATATATATATATATGGAATAGGTTAGTCTCGGGGACATGGCAAGGTAAAAATGGCGGCTTGTGGGGACACGTGCATTTCCGGGGACACGACGGGGACACAAGAAAATCCAGGCTCCTGATTGGCTGGACGTTTCAGGCTAATACAGCATGTTTAGGGGACACCGATTTTGCAAAATTATTTATGCTAAATATCTCTGTAATTAGGAATGATTATGATCCAATTCTTTCTCAGCATATGCATTATAATTTTACACGAATAATTACACAACATTTAAGAACATAATGTACATTTTCCTTATAGAAATTCGAATTTTAAGGATTTCTGGAAATAGAGGTAGGACTTGCCTAAAATATTTGCTAATTCATGGGTAGACTGAATCATTCCATCATTTGGACAATGTCATTCATGATCGGGGACACGATCTCATTCTTTGACTTCAAGCTATATCCTGTCGATAACGAGTTTGAAAAAGTTAAATTATTTGTTACAATAAAATATTTGCACGTAAATTTGTATTCATGTAAGTTAATTACTCTGACTTTTATTAACAACTAATTATACGCTGAGAATTCCTTCTCTACAATTTCCTTGGGTTGTCCGCATTTTTCTTCTTATAACTGATTAGTTCAACCAATGAGAAGGCTTGTGCCCCAAATGGGGCGAAGCCCCTTTAAGATTCTGGCGGAGGGCAGGCTATTTTCTAAACAGAAAAACCTACTCTATAAACTCTTTTTAGCTAGTTAATCACGCTATTTGCCAAATTCTTGACGAAGTTACATTGAAAGATTAAAAAAAATTATTCAGCAACCGATAAATGAACAGGAATCGGCAAGCGAATATTTGATGGAAACGTACGAGCTCATTTCAGAACATTGCGTTAGAAAGGAAGCTACGACCGGTGACAGAAACACAGCAAAATTGTAGGCATCGGGAACAGCGCTCCATAACACCAGTGGATGAGATAAGCAATTCGTTCCACGGAGTCTTATGACCAAGTCAGTTGAATGCATTAATGTCAGCCTAAGACAGGCTGTGTTCCAATTGGTTGTATTTTTATATTAGTCCAGTTCTATTTTTTCCAAACAATCGTTAATTGGAAAAGCCCTCGTTAAAGGCAAAGTTAGCACGCGCCCAAGCATCTCTACGGGCTCGGGTGGGCGTGGCTTGAGCTGCAGCTCAACTGGCGGATGAATACACAGCGAAGTAATAGACAGCGGAGTAATACACAGCTGGCCTGCACGACAGGAACGAGCTATTTGCAGCCATTGCTCCATTACCATGTAATGCTAATAGTCTCGTTAACGTTCGTCGATTTCCTAATTTATTTAATATTTTTATTTTTGATGCGAAATGGAAATTTATAAGAATCTGGGCACGCTGTCATTGCGCAACTTAAGAACGAAGCTATTCAGGTGAAAGATATTACTTCGTGAAAATCTTTGCTTTGTTTGATACTAGAAGAGGTGCACTCATCTTCGAATTTCATGATGCACCGACCCCCTGCAAGTCATTTAAACTGCGTTCATAATATTATTCATATTCTATGCCCAAAAAGATGCTCATGAACGAACTAATTTTTTTAATAAACATGTGCAAACAGATTGATCCATGTTAAATAACCGATTTTACAACGAGAGATCAGCCTATTAGTCTATTATCCAATTAGCCTATTACCCTATTACTCAATTAGCCTATTAGCCTATTAGCCTATTATTAGTTTATG